AAAAAAAGGAAGAGCGTGGTCTGCCTGGTGGATGACTTTTTCTTGGATTTTTTTCCGTAGGGCTGTCCATTCACACGTTCCACGGCAACTTCTTTGTGCGCTCCACCGACCTGCTGTCGCTGCCCAACGTCAACCCGGACGCCGGCTATGCCGTGCAGATGTCCATCGAGGAGAACCTGGACGACATGCAGGTGGTCTCCTTCCAGGCTGCGCTACTCTACACCTCAAGCAAAGGTCGGCACGAGTGTCCCTGCCTCGCTCAAGTTGATTTGAATTGACTTCTGCTCAATTCGTTGGACAATTTTCAGTGTGAGAATCCGCTTGTGCCGTTAAAGGTTATTTTCTGTTAAGGCTACGAAGGTGTCTTAACCGGTGGTGCCGGTAATGATCGAGGGCGCGATGAGTGAAGTCGGATCCTTTGTGGCACGGCGCTTGAGGAGCGCAGCGTTTCACTTTCTGCTTTTAACAGGAGAGCGGAGGATCCGCGTGCACACCCTGTGCCTCCCGGTGGTCCACTCCCTGTCGGACATCTTTGCCGGCGCCGACGTTCAAGCCATGGCCGGCCTGCTGGCGTGCATGGGTGAGGATCATGCTTCCCGTCAGGACTATCGCAATATTTTTCGAAGATATTGTGAGGGGGAGATTTCATTCGATTTTGAGATTTTTGATCAGACTGACCACACCACATACGGCAGGGATATCTGCTCTGCTTCACTTTTTGAGCCTTTACCGTAATGGGAGCGTCCTTCGGGTTGTCGGCGCGAGAGATTCGGAGCTAAAATCAGGCTCATTAAGCCACTTCATCTCAGAAACTTTTATGGGAAATTGCGTGGCGCTTTGTGTCAGTCTTATGAAACGGTTTTAGCACTGTTGCGTTTACCACGATAAACTGATACTTGTTTAAAAAAAAAAAAAAAGAATGTAAAGGAGAAACATAAGGCCTCTCGAGCAAGCCCCTCGGCGATACGTAAAGGTGTGGTCTCCTTTCAGCCGTGGACCGCTCGGTGACGGCCAGCTTGAGCGACGCCCGGGACGCCATGACCAACGCCGCCATCGACTCCCTGTCGTCGTACCGACAGTCGGTGCTGACCATCCAGCAGCCCGGCTTGCTCGCCCCGGCCTGCCTCAGACTCTTCCCGCTCTACATCCTTGCGCTGCTCAAGCAGGTCTGCCGCCATCGCAACACACGCTTCCACTCGAGGGTTTTGAGTTTGTTTTCGACCGGATGACGTCACTGAGCAATTTGGGGACAAAGGAGCAATTTCAAGTCAGGTTCCAATTCCCGACAAAGTGCTGAGAGACTGGGACTACAACACACTGACAAGAGTCTCGACTCAGCTGTGTTTCTAGAGCTCTTTCAAACAACATCCGCCGCTGTGTTCAAAAGTGCTGTACGTTGAGCAAAAATAATACGTACAAAAAGAAAACGACTAATAAAGAACGAAGACGCTAAGCGGCACGGAAACAGCGCCACTCAAACCAAGTGTCATGCTGAGTCAAAAGCCAAAGAGTAAAAAAGAAACAAAACAACATCAAGCTGGAAAAAAAAAAATCATCGAGCATCACACGACCAGCAGGTTCAAGGCTCTAGTGTCGTTCTGGACTGTTGATCCACCTCCGTGTGTTTGTTCCCCCCCCCCCCCCGAGAGCCAGCTGAAAGTAGCGTTGATGCAGAACATGATTGAGGACCGCACCGAGTCGGCGCTGTCCTACTACGAGTTCCTGCTTCACCTGCAACAGCAGATCTCCAAATGAGCCGTTTGTGTGCGTGCATGTGGAAAGAGCAGAAGTGCATGATGGACACTTTCAATTTAGCCTTGGAGGTGATCCAATAAAGAAATGTGTGTATGTATATATTTGTGTGTGTGTGTGTGTGTGTGTGTGTGTGTGTGCGCGCGCGCGCGCGCGTATACATGCAGATATATACGTATGCATATACATATATGTGCGTATATATGTGTGTGTGTGTGTGTGTGTGTACATGTACTATATGTATGTAAAAGATGGAAAGTATCAGTTTTTATTCTCATAGAACAATAATGTCCAAAGTTGAGGTATGGCTCAGATGTGAGCTCGTTGATGGCAAAAGCACAGAACGTTTCCTCGAACACGTCACATGTATGCAAGTTTGTGTGTTTGTGTGTGTGTGTGTGTGTGTGTGTGCGTGCGCGCTTTCAGGCTAACCGAGGTGTCCGACTGTTAACAAGTATTTTCATCACTTTTTTTTTTCTTTGTGAAGATTCCATCTTTCTATGTGGCGTGCCGAACAAATGCCAGAAAAAGGCAAAGAAAGCATCAGGCGCCCACTTGAATGTTGCGTTGCAATCTTTTTTTTTTGGCGCCCCTCTCCTGTTTAATTTATGAGCCTCCCAATATAATTAAAATTCAATGATTGCCTTGAAGGGGAACTCTACTTTTACTACCAAGCTTCCTGTTGAAACCCAGACAATATATGTAAAATATTTTAATATAATAGAATACAGGAATATTTTTTTTGTTCATGAACACAAGACCTAACAGAAAAAGCCATTGTGATCTTTTAATCATGCTTATTGATACTTGTTTATTGAAAATACTGCATTATATCAATGGTGGAGAGATGCTAATAAAATTTTAGTATGACAGATTAGGTGACATGTCAATGAAATAAAATGTTTGGGACTTTTTAAATGTAGTGGGCTTTTTGGGGGGCAGTGACGGAGTTAACGGTCTGAAATATGTGGACCAAATTAGTCACTTTTTTCCTCCCCTTGTGTGAGTTGATCATTTGTAATTGTTGTACAGTCTTATAAAAAGCAAAACCTATTTAGAAAACAAGCGAATAGGGTCGAAATTGTCTGATACAAAAAAAATAAATACTCTGCTTACTCAAGTCATATGCATGTATTGTCAAGTGACTTTTCCATCTTTAAAATGTAATATCTACACAAACTAAAAAAATGAGAAAATGCATGCATACCTAAAAATTGTGAAAAACGGTACAGTAGTAATTTTCAATGATTAACATGGAAAACAGCGTGTGTGTGTGTGAGTGAGTGAAATGTACATTACCTGTGGAAATATTCGGTGTAGCAGTCCTGTTCTTTTTATTCCGTCACGTCACAGTACTTGCTATAATGCTGTAACATTAGAGAAAGGAAAACCACAGAGGCTGATGCACTTTATAGCTTTTTATTAAACGCCAGAAGAATTGTAAAACACAGAAAACACGAGCTGCTCTCCACCACTGCTCCTGCCCAGGGACTCGCACAGACTGGGACGTCACATGACACCCCGTGTGTGTTCACATGTTTTGCATACGTTTCAATAAATGGTTTTAAAGCATGTCAAAGGGGTTACAGCTAAAATTAAACTTTTTTAACTATGGTCTCTAACCACGAAGCCCAAAACTGCAAATAGCTTGCTAAAAATGTTTAAAAAGGGCCTTTAAAATTACAGTGATTGGAGGTAAATATGTGCGATTTTGAAATCATCATGAGTTCATTATATATTTGTTAATATTAGATCGTACAAAGAAAACCTTTATTTATCTCACAATGGAGAAAGTCCCAGAAACTCCCCTCCCACATTTTATTTAAATTTAGGGACCCAATTTCACGCTCATGGTTCCCTTTTGTGTCTCAAACACCACCTGGCCAATCAAATGCAGAAAAAAAATTACTATTCATAATAATGTTCATCATGTAATACGACTAACATTACCAAAAAAAAAAAAAAGTCGAGCGTACAAGCGTTCCCTTTGTGTCCTCTCTTGGTGACGGCATCGCCGCGCGACATCGGCGGTCCATCCCGTGTTGTTCTTCAGCAATCTGACCGTGTCCAGAGTTATCGCCGCACGTTTTTTGACTTTAATTTGTTTTTCGTTGTTTTATTTCGTTTTGATTGACGTGGGTTCATTATTTTGAAAACATGGAGCCTGCGGAGGGCCACGCCGCCGACGATAAAACGACGACGGCGGGCTCGGCGCTGTCGGCGGCGCAGAGGCGAGCGGAGATCCGCAGGAGGAAGCTGCTCATGAATTCCGAGGACAGGATGAAGAGAATTGTAGGCTACGCCAAGAACGAGGCTGACATTAACGGTATGTTAACTGACGGCTTACATTTAGTACAGTAGCTGTAGCTGCATCTGCCCTTACCTATCAGGCGATGTTAACGTGACGTCACAATGAGCGAACAGGCCTTTATGAGATCAAATCCTATAAAATACGTCACTTAAATTCACGAATCATACTTCTTGGTATTATTGTTTGAAAAGACTCGTCTCTGGGTCATGACAAACACCTTATTTTGTATGTTTGAAAAAAACGCAAGCAACTATGTCCCAACGAAATACCCGGATGTTTGACGTCATTTCTCTTGTGGAATTGTATACAAATTCATGCATTTTTCTTTCCGTAATGTTAGCGGAAAAAAATAACCATTTGGCTGTTTTTGTGCTTAGGCTCAACAAAAATAGCGTTGTCGCTGCGCCATCTGATGCATTCTTCGTGTCAAGGAAGCAATTTGAAGTGTGTTCGGGTTTTATTTCGTGTTTTGCTGCCATCCCGGTAGAGCAGTGCGTTTATGGACAGATCACATAACGATACTCGCAGGCCTATTCGTCGTCGTTTGTGATGAAAAACTTATATTATTGCAATTCACTGAGTCCCTATGGTGACTCTTCTTCATCAAGTGTGTTGGTTGTCATCACTGATATCCAGTAGGGTCACCCCGGCGTCCGTCAGAACCCCGCTTCCACCTGGACTTGGACCGGACAGATGCATGGTCATCCCAACCCTCCCCGAGACCCTCTCCCTTCCTGCCGGAGTCAGTCAACCTGTCCCGCGGAGCCACCCCAGAGACGAGGGACTCGCCACTGCCAGACGACGCAGCGATGACGGCGGACGGCCATCTCCGAGGGATCCGGCAGAAGCCCAAGGCGGAGAAGGTGGCGGGGGATGACCCCGGCGGCCTCCAGCAGTACCTCTCCCGCTTTGACGATGCCATGAAGCTGAGGGGCCAGTTGGTCAATGAGAAGCCGGCGCATGACGGTGAGGCGGAAGGCGAGGAGTTTGACCCCTTCGCCATCTTCAGGCTGGTCTGCAGCGTCCTCCTCGCCGTTTTTGTCCGAGTGTTTGTCTGCAAGTATCTGGTGAGTTGTCACATGTCTGATTGATTTAGAGACATTCTAGCAGCAATGTGACGCTTTATTTATCCTTTTGTGATTTTAGTCGATATTTGCTCCATTTCTGACGCTGGAACTGGCCTTTATGGGCTTGTCCAAATACTTTCCAAAGGTGAGTTCTGGGTTTGGTCTCGGGACGTTTGCAATGAGGGCCCGGGGGCACTTTGACGTTTATTCAAATTGACAGCAGGGGGCGGTGCTGTATAAAATGTCAGCCCCCTGAGATGGCCTGAAAATGGGTGGATTCATCTGCTAAGTGCTTATTCCACAAATAAAATGCAGAACAGTTAATGGTTTTGACCGACATGGTTGCAGATGGAGAAGAAGGCGCAGACCACAGTGCTGACCGCCGCCCTGCTGCTGTCAGGCATCCCCGGTGAGGTCATTAACCGCTTCATGGACACGTACCGGCGCATGGGCGACGTCTTCGCTGACCTCTGCGCCTACTTCTTCACATTCATCCTCTCCCATCAAGTCCTGCTGCTGATCGGCTCTGAAGCCGGCGAGCCGGGCGCGGGCGCTTCTGCCGCGGCAGCAGCGGCGCAGTGACCAAGCCGAACCGTCCCCCTCCGCCGCTTTCGGCGCCGACCGTTGAGGCGGCAAGGCATGTTTGTGTGTCTCTTTTCTTCATGGTACAAGTGAGAACTTTCCAACGCAAGAAACCAGACATTAGTTTTAGTGGGAACGCATTTGTACCTTGACTTGCGAGCGCGTCAACTTTTCAAAGTTTTGCACTTACAAGCCGCCGCTTGGTCAAATTTGCGAGCCTAATTTTGCGTCAGACGAGCGAGCTTCAGAATACGCCGCCGCTTCAGTGAAGTGGAAAGAAATGGAGTAGTTATGGTACTGTAATACCCTTGCATGTGGGCAAGGAGAGTCGCCGATGCACTTTATTGAACTGGACAAACAGTCAAACACGTGCAAACTCGATAGCCGAATAGCGAAGTCGCCTGTGTCATTTTTGCTTTTCAGCATGTACTTTGGTATTTTTGGGCGATGTAACAGTAAGTTGAAAATGACACAAGCGAGTATCCTTTTCGGCTCACAAAAACACCAAGAGTCATTGTTGGCAACAGCTCACACTTGGAAGCTCACATCTTGCCCCTTCATGTCATTAAAGGCAGAGCTGACACTAATTCCACACTTCATTTATTCATGATTTTTTTGTTTTGTCTTTTTAAATGCAATAAACTGTTTTCTCTTTATGAGAAATCCATAATTAAAAAATGGTGGTGTTTTGGGGAATGGAGTAGTTAGCACTTCAGCACCCGCTGATTCATCTTTAGTGTGGTCAGTGCCTGTATTTTTTATTTTTATTTATTTTGTTCTTTTTTTTGTGGAAAACTAGAAAAATTTCCCCATTTTTTTTTAAAGACTTTTGGGGGCGGGTTGTAAACAAACAAAAAAATTCTTCCCTCTTTCATAGCATTGATACTAGGTGTCAACGATTCGCATAATTTCACAATTTGCAGGCGGCTAGGTCCCAAAATTTTGTGAATAGCAGGGGTCCGCTGTAATGGCATTTCTATTGATTTCAATGGTAAAAATTGATATGAATAAATTGAGTTATGAGCGGGCTGTGGAGAGGAATTCAACTCGTAAGTCAAGGTGCCAGTGTACTTTTTCGCTTTTGTGTCACGCCTCCGCCTTACGTGTTTTCTATCTACTCGCCAATGCCTGTCTTTTTAATATCCTGCTCATTAACTTATTACTGTGACGATTTTTGACATGTTAAAACGCGTGCGTGTTATATTCGGAAACCACTCGGACTAATTGATCTGTATACCTCCATCCATCCATTTTCCGATCCGCTTTGTCCTCTCAATGCTGACGGGGGGGGGCTGGAGCCTATTCCAGCCGTCTTCGGGCAGCAGGCGGGGGACGCCCTGATCCTGTTGCCAGCCAATCGCAGGGCACACACAATTTAGAGTGTTCAATCAGCCTGCCATGCATGTTTTTGGAATGTGGGAGAAAACCGGAGTACCCGGAGAAAACCCACGAAGGCACGGGAGAACATGCAAACTCCACACAGGAAGGCCGGAGCGAACCCACGACCTCTGCGCCTGCTGAGGTCCATGCGCTAACCACGAGACCCACCGCCCATCTGTATACATATACATGTGAAATCATTCAATGTTGACATGGTACAAGCATTAAAATTGTCAAGCCAAATGATTTATCTGACACGCTGTTTTCTTTTAGTATTTGACTTTCAACATTGTATTATTACATACTTATTCTTAACACTCAATACAAACTTGTCATCTAAAATAAGCGGAAGAACTACAAGAGGTTCTTGGAGGTTTTTTTTTCTAATATAAAAACTTGAACTTGCCATCTAAAATAAGCGCAAGAGCTTCAAGAGGTACTTGGAGTTTTTTTTTTTCTAATATAAGAACTTGAAAAAACATAATGCCTTGTTCAATGTATTGACAATAAATTATAGTTTTTTCTTTTCTAATATAAAAACTTGAACTTGTCATCTAAAATAAGCGGAAGAACTTCAAGAGGTACTTGGAGGGTTTTTTTTTCTAATATAAAAACTTGAAAAGAAATAATGCCTTGTTCAATGTATTGACAATAAATTATAATTAGATAATTCAAACAAATGGGAAATGTAGAATTATATTAAAAAAAATATGTATTCAACTAACTACAGTAATACTAAAAAACATACAAAAAGAAAACCTCCCGCCTCTTGGTGGCACACTGAACAGCCAAGGCGCCACATTTCCACAACAGGTGTCGCACTTTGGTGACGTAACGAACTTGAGCGGAAGCAGTTTGGGATCCTACGTGAAGGCGCCGCAGCGAAGTCAAACATCAGTTGGCAACTCATTAGACTTGTTTCACGACTTTACCATGGGTCGCGAGTCGCGGTATGTCCGAGAGCATGTTTAATTCGTTTTCTTTTTAAAAAATTATGTATTCATTTATTTTTTTAATCTTGTGATGTTAATTGGTAGAGAATGGTCCCACGCCGGTCTCTACCAAGATAATCTGGAATGCGAACGTTAGCATGCTAACTGCGCCGTAAACTACCAGCATACATTGCCCGCCAAGTCTCGCTCGCATATGAACACGGTTTTCACACTATCGTTTCATGTTCGCCTTTAAACCACTATTGTGTTCATGTTTAGACATTACAGGAAGCGCTCGACTTCTCCGCGGCGCTCCGGTAGCCGCTCGAGGAGTCGCTCTGCGGACCAACGCTCCAAAAAGGAAGACCCGGACCGAACCAACATATACATGTGAAATCATTCAATGTTGACATGGTACAAGCATTAAAATTGTCAAGCCAAATGATTTATCTGACACGCTGTTTTCTTTTAGTATTTGACTTTCAACATTGTATTATTACATACTTATTCTTAACACTCAATACAAACTTGTCATCTAAAATAAGCGGAAGAACTACAAGAGGTTCTTGGAGGTTTTTTTTTCTAATATAAAAACTTGAACTTGCCATCTAAAATAAGCGCAAGAGCTTCAAGAGGTACTTGGAGTTTTTTTTTTTCTAATATAAGAACTTGAAAAAACATAATGCCTTGTTCAATGTATTGACAATAAATTATAATTAGATAATTCAAACAAATGGGAAATCTAGAATTATATTAAAAAAATATGTATTCAACTAACTACAGTAATACTAAAAAACAAAAAGAAAACCTCCCGCCTCTTGGTGGCACACTGAACAGCCAAGGCGCCACATTTCCACAACAGGTGTCGCACTTTGGTGACGTAACGAATTTGAGCGGAAGCAGCTTGGGATCCTACGTGAAAGCGCCGCAGCGAAGTCAAACATCAGTTGGCAACTCTTTTGACTTGTTTCACGACGTTACCATGGGTCGCGAGTCGCGGTATGTCCGAGAGCATGTTTAATTCGTTTTCTTTTAAAAAATTATGTATTCATTTATTTTTTTTAATCTTGTGATGTTAATTGACTTAGAATGGTCCCACGCGGCTCTCTACCAAGATAATCTGGAATGCGAACGTTAGCATGCTAACTGCACCGTAAAATACCAGCAGACATTGCCCGCCAAGTCTCGTTCGCATATGAACGCAGTTTTCACACAATCGTTTCATGTTCGCCTTTAAACCACTATTGTGTTCATGTTTAGACATTACAGGAAGCGCTCGACTTCTCCGCGGCGCTCCGGTAGCCGCTCGAGGAGTCGCTCTGCGGACAAACGCTCCAAAAAGGACGACCGGGACCGAAGCCGGAGGGAGGGGTCGCGCAGCCGAGACAGGCGGAGATCGCGTGCAAAATCGCCATTGACAAATTGAATCATACACATCTTCAGATAGGGAACAGCCACAAAGATGTTTTATTTATTTTCCTTTGTAGATGCAGAACTTAATTACCAACTAGCCTTCTTACATGTATTCATTTATATTTTTATTTATTTCATTGGAACAGTACACATTAATCAACACAGCAGTGTAAATGTGCCGGACTTAACATAAATGCTAGCTTTCAGCCGTAGTCCCGAGGCAGGTTTCTTAACAACATAACATAAAATAATATAACACAAAACATAACATGCACACAGTCATGCAATCTTAGCCACTTTTCCTTTTCAATCGGTGTTGCATTTCAATGTGTGTGTGAGACAACCAATTGTCAAAATTGCGACACATTTTAATAAATAGGCAGCTTCCCGAAAAAAAACAAGTCAGCTTTATTGTCAAATATGGTCGATGTGCAACATACAGCACAGATGAAATTTCTCTCCTTTCAACCACAGCGCAAACATGCAGTGCATTGAAAACACACTCAGCTAAAAATAAGGGCAACAAAACCGAACTGCATTAAAAGACATACATAGATAAATACTTAGTTATTTTCACACTTGTTTAGTGGGCAGGCCCTCCAGAGACCCAACATTTGTATACAAGTTAATGGGGGAAAAAAATAACTTTTCCATAAAGTGTCCTCATTCTTCTTCTGGGCAGACGTTCCAGGAGCAGGGAAAGGAGGAGATCCAGAAGCCGAGAACGCAAGAGGTCTAGCAGCAGAGGCCGAGCCAGGAGGTCGCGCTCGGCCACCCCCAGCAAGAGCAGGAAAACTGATGAAAAGTCTGCCCTCTTCGCCACCAAAAATATTGACATCACACTTTCAGTAAGTTCTAACTTGAACTTTGTTCTCTCTCTCTCTTTCTCTCTCTCGTCTTTGCAGGTCAAAGAGCAAAGAGAAAGAAAACCTTGATCTTGTATCGGACCGGAAGAAAATTAAGGAGGAAAAGGAAGAGGAGAAAGTTGAAGATGTAAGTTTTGTGAGAAACGGCTCCAGCGGTCCCAAAGAAGATTCTAGTATATGTCAACAAATATTCAATAGCCTCAGCTCTATAAAAAAAAAAAAAAACAAGTGTGGTTGCATGTGTTCCCACAGCAGCAAGACTTTGACCAGAACAAGCTGGAGGAGGAGATGAGGAAGCGGAAGGAGCGTGTGGAGAAGTGGCGCGAGGAGCAGCGCAAAAAGGCCATCGAAAACATCGGCGAGATCAAGAAGGAGCTGGAGGAGATGAAGCAGGGCAAAAAGTGGAGCCTCGAAGACGACGACGGTGAGCGCGGCGCGCGACACCGACCGCACGCCTAACCCTCGGTCTGCTCGTAACACGGACGTCGTCATTGCAGACGATGACGAGGACGTGCCCGTCCCGATGGAGGCAACCGAGGAGGAGGAGGAGGAGGAGGCCAAAGACAAAGGAGAGGTCAAAGAAAGCGAGGTCAAGGAGGAAAAGATGGACGAAGGCGAGAAGGACTCGGACCCCCCCGGCGAGAAGCAGGACGAGGACGACGAGATCGACATCGACCCGCTGGACGCCTACATGGAGGAGGTGAAGCAGGAAGTGAAGAAGTTCAACATGGGAGGCGTCAAAGGAAACGACAAGGTGCGTGGAAAGTTACAACAGTGACCCCGTGAAGCAAATTGAACAGGAAGTCAGCCATTTGTGTTTGATGGAGCCATTTTCGGCTCATTTTCTTCACTTTCACCCTTTCGGAAAGTAAGCAAAATTCAGCCCCCGGCACCAGTTTCAATAATTGTACAATAAGACCAAAATGGGTGAGCGTGTCCATCATAACAGAATTGAACAGAAGGTCAGCCATTTCAGTTCAGAGCAGCCATTTTGGGGCATCATTTTGAGTGCGATGGTGTGCAAGGGCCTGCTGATCACTGCTTGGATTATTATGAAATGATTTGTTTTTTTAAATCCTTATCAACAGAAGGGAGCAACAGTAACTAAAGTGGTGACGGTGGTTAAGACCAAAAAAGGACCTCACACTCACAAGAAGAAGGGGGAGCTGATGGAGAACGACCAGGATGCCATGGAGGTGAGGTGACATCTCTCTGGCACTGGTGGTGATTTTTGTGCGGAAGTCAAAGAAAGCTAACGGATCTCTCCAATGCGTCACGCAGTACTCGTCGGAGGAGGAGGAAGTTGACTTGCAGACGGCGCTGACGGGATTCCAGACGAAGCAGAGGAAGATCCTGGAGCCCGTTGACCACGGCAAGATCCAGTACGAGCCCTACCGCAAAAACTTCTATGTGGAGGTGCCCGATCTGGCCAGGATGTCCCCCGAGGGTCCGTACGTGGCGCGGCGTCCATTTTAGGCTTTGGGAACAGAACGATCCTAATGCGCCGGCGATCTGTTACAGAGGTGAACACATACCGGATGGAACTGGAGGGAATTACGGTGAAGGGGAAAGGCTGTCCCAAGCCCATCAAGACTTGGGTGCAGTGCGGCGTCTCCATGAAGATCCTCAATGCCCTCAAGAAGTCAGTAGAAATGCTGAAAAGATCGGTCGAATCGCAGCCAGCCAACTCTTAAGCTCTCATTCGGCAACATCCTACGTCACTTGCCGGACAGGCCCCGCCTTTCGATCCGAAGTCGCGGATGCGACAGTACACGACCGCGGTGGACAAAATGCTTGCATCTCGCTCGCAATGCGATCGCTTCGTGATGTAAAGTCCATTTGAATCCGTTGAATCGATGAGAGAAACTGCGGAATGCCATCGATTCCAAAATTGAGCGCCGTGATCAATCAAATCGACATTTGAATTCACCAGCGTTAGCCGGAAGGCAGTTAAATGAATCCAGCCAATGGAAAACCCAGCGGCCGGCCCATCTTTTGCTCTGCTGTGCTGGCGCCGTTAATCTAACAGTATTATTGCGCTGGTAGTTTCTCCCCGATCGTGTTGTTTGTTGCCTTTATTGAGCTGCAGGAGTGGGGGAAATTTTGCTTGTATTAGAAGTCACCGTCGCCTACAATAAGCCGCGCTGTTCGTCAACAGCCACATGAGCATTTCCAGCCACACTTTGAGGGTTGTCACATTGACGCAGCAAATGAGTACGATTATTTCTTTGAAAATTCGACTCGCCCTCATAGGCAGAGCTACGAGAAGCCCACCCCCATCCAGGCGCAGGCCATTCCCGCCATCATGTCGGGCCGAGACCTCATCGGCATCGCCAAAACGGGCAGCGGCAAAACCATCGCCTTCCTTCTGCCCATGTTCAGACACATCATGGACCAGAGGCCTCTGGAGGAAGCCGAGGGCCCCATCTGTAAGAGGCACACCTTTTTTTCCCCCCCCCACAACTCTTTCAGCCCCGAGTGGGGACAAGCGGTGTAGAAAACGGAGAGGAGAAACCTGGCGTGTCGCTGTTCTCCCTCAGCTGTGATCATGACGCCCACCAGAGAGCTGGCGCTGCAGATCACCAAAGAGTGCAAGAAGTTCTCCAAGTCGCTGGGACTCAGGGTGGTGTGCGTCTACGGAGGCACGGGCATCAGCGAACAGGTAAAACGCTGGATCTACAAAACAACCGGCGACGTTTGCAGCGCTAACGGGACGCCGGGACCATTCATTGCCAGATTGCCGAGCTGAAGCGAGGCGCCGAGATCATCGTGTGCACGCCGGGAAGAATGATTGACATGTTGGGCGCCAACAGCGGTGAGTGCTGCCATGTTTTGATTGCTGATAAATACCGGGAGTTTTTGTTTTTTTTTTTTTTTTTTTTTTTAATAAATGCCCTCGGTGCATTGCTGATCAGACAAACTTTGAACAAGAATAAACAAACGAACAAAAAAAAAAAGCAGGTAGGTGCCCCCTGGTCCGCTTTGACAGCCAGAGATTGAAACGTGTTGCATGAGTGTCGCCATCTTGCAAATGTGTGCGTATGAACCTGATGGGAAAGTGTCATGAGCACCTGTGCTTTTATCGTGATTTTGTGGCTTCCACACATGCGAGGTAATCTGTTTTGTTCCCCTTCTTTGTAGGTGAAAAGCCGTACGGTCAGATAATGCTTGAGTGGGGCTCCGTCTCTTGTTTTGTATCTTGAGGCGGTTTTCTGACTTTTTCAGGTCCCTCGCCAAGATGGTACGCAAGACGTGACCGAGATAGACAAAAATAAAATAAAAAAAAGAGTCACATTTTAAAAGTTGAAACACTTGCCACCTTAAAGTAGTCCACGCCGCATACCTTTGGCAGAATTCGCGAGCTTCGCGGCTTGGCTGACGCGTCTCTCTACCTCGCCGCGCAGGTCGCGTCACCAACCTCCGCCGAGCTACGTACGTGGTGCTGGACGAGGCCGACCGGATGTTCGACATGGGCTTTGAGCCGCAGGTGGGCGCCATACAGAACCCCTCGACGGCAGTCCCGCGCGCGTCATTCCAAACAATTAGCGACGATGCGATTCCTGCGCCAAGGTCATGCGCATCGTGGACAACGTTCGTCCGGACCGGCAGACGGTGATGTTCTCCGCCACCTTCCCCAGAGCCATGGAGGCTCTGGCTCGGAGGATCCTGGCCAAGCCGCTGGAGATCCAGGTGGGCGGGCGCAGTGTGGTCTGCTCTGACGTGGAGCAGCACGTGGTAAGTGTCCCCGATGTGCCCAGCTTGACACTTGATGGATAGATTTCGCCGTCCGCCAACAGTCTTTCGACACTTCGTGGTCGGTTCGTGGGACTCGGCTGCTTCAAGTGTCGTGTGAGCCGTTCTATGAGCTCGAGGGCTGTTGGCCACCCCAAAAAAAAACCTTTAACCGAGAGCTGACGAACAATCCCAGCAATCTGGAATTGCTTTCTTGGCCGACTTTCGCGTGTTTCAAAGAGTTGATGAATTTTCAAGTGGCCCTTTCATCCTCCCGTCTCTGCATGCGATTCTTGAACGTGAATTTTTCGAGTTGTCATTGGTACCCCGTTTGAATCATCGAGTTTAACAAGTCGACTGTAGGTGGTAAATGTCGGATTTTTTTTTTTCTTTTTTTTTTGTTACCTGCAGCTGGTGATCGAGGAGGACCAGAAGTTCCTGAAGCTGCTGGAGATCCTGGGCCACTATCAGGAGAAGGGCTCGGTCATCATCTTTGTGGACAAGCAGGAGCACGCCGACGGTCTCCTCAAAGAGCTGATGAAGGCCTCGTACCCCTGCATGTCCCTGCACGGAGGTACCGTGAAAGCGCTTCTGCCCGGCCTGCGCGCCGCCCGCCCGCCGCTCCTTCTTTTTCACGCCACTTTGTGTTCAGGCATCGACCAGTACGACCGCGACAGCATCATCAACGACTTCAAGAACGGCGCCTGCCGTCTGATGGTGGCCACGTCGGTGGCGGCGCGAGGCCTCGACGTCAAGCAGCTCATCCTGGTGGTCAACTACAACTGCCCCAACCACTACGAGGATTACGTGCACAGGGCCGGACGCACGGGCCGAGCGGGCAACAAGGTCAGTTTCCAATGCGGCGATCTCAGTCGTTCGCGGCGCTTCGCAAAAAAAACGCCACGCCGCGCCGCTTCACTTGCCATCCCGTTCATTCCAGGGATACGCCTACACCTTCATCACGGAGGACCAGGTCCGATACTCCGGCGACATCATCAAAGCCTTGGAGCTGTCCGGTTCTCCCGTCCCGGCCGATTTGGAGCAGCTGTGGGCCTCCTTCAAGGACCAGCAGAAAGCGGTAAGACAAAAGCAACGCGGGTAAATCAGGGAGATTTTCCACCTTTTCTTGGTCTGCCCGCCGTCGCAGGAGGGCAAGTCCATCAAGAGCAGCAGCGGCTTCTCGGGCAAAGGCTTCAAGTTCGACGAGACCGAGCACGCCCTGGCCAACGAGAGGAAGAAGCTGCAGAGGGCGGCGCTGGGACTGCAGGATTCCGACGATGAGGACGGCGCTCTGGATGTGAGGAAATCAAATGTGTTTGCGCACGCACGCTGACAACGGGGACGCGCATCGGAGCGGTCTCCCTCCCATGCGATCACAGTTTGAGGTCCGAAGTCAAGAGAAATCGTGGTCTCCCACATGGATGGATTCCCTTTCAGATTGAGGAGCAGATCGAGAGCATGTTCAACTCCAAGAAGCGCGTGAAGGACCTGACGGCTCCCGGAGCGTCGGCGGGCGGAGGCGGCTCGGCGAACGCTTCGGCGGGCTCGCTGAGCGGGCTCCCGGGGCTTGGACCCACGTCTGCCGGAAACATCCAGAAGCTGGAGATGGCCAAGCGGCTGGCTCTCAAGATCAACGCCCAGAAGAACCTGGGAGCTGAAGCTCAGGTATGTTGAGAAACTGCTTGCGCCATATGGTAAAGTCATCTCCGTACTAGGAGAAAAAAAAATGGAGAGGACCCCGGCATATTTGTAAATGTATTTATTTGTTTCCCCCCCCCCCCCTTTCATTATTATATATCATATCTGATATACGATTTTTGCTGTTCGCGGTCGGGCTCGTCCCCTGTTCCCCGCAAATAGCACGGGTCCACGCTATCCCTTTTTGCTCGCAGATGTTTGATTTTGTTACCTTGACAGCCACGTGTGACACTCTGTCATGTCGCCTGATTAAGGTTGTCCACACTTAATGTAACTTTGTACATTTTTCTTTTTACGTAATGTAAAAAAAAAAAAGTTGTGACATAATTTCTTTCGAAGATGCTTTTTATTTTGTAGTTATTTTCAATTTTATACATTTGCCATTTGTTGTGATGTATGTTTTTTCAAAACTGATTTCTTTTCACGAGGAAAGCCCGTCCACCCTCGGTCTAAAATTGCATTCTCTGAGCTCAACGAGTCGATCGTCCCCTCCCCCCCAGGACGTGATGCAGCAGGCCACCAACGCCATCCTGCGCGGCGGCACCATCATGACGCCGTCGGTGTCGGCCAAGACCATCGCCGAGCAGCTGGCCGAGAAGATCAACGCCAAGCTCAACTACACGCCGGTGGAGAAGCTGGAGGAGGAGCGGCAGGCGGCCGAGCAGTCCGAGACGGTCAAGCGCTACGAGGAGGAGCTGGAGATCAACGACTTCCCGCAGGTCGGTCAGGCGGGCTGGCGCACGGCTCGCTACTGCCTTCACGTTCATGTATTATTTTATTTATGGATTCGTTTACCATCATGTGCCTGCCCAAATGCGCTGCTCTACAGACGGCTAGGTGGAAGGTAACGTCCAAGGAAGCCCTGCAGAGGATCGGGGAGTACTCGGAGGCCGCCATCACCATCAGAGGGACCTACTTCCCTCCGGGCAAGGAGCCCAAGGAGGGCGAGCGCAAGATCTACTTGGCCATTGAAAGTACGTATTTGCCCTTTAAATACAGCTGGGCGGCCAGTTCATGTTTAACTGTCACAATGATTTTTTTATTTCCTCCAATTGTTGCGTTACCTGTTCAAAAAGAAGGCCCCGCTGATGTGCACTGCTTACATAAACCGCAGAGTTGAGAATTAGGGATTTGGTCATGATATTTACTGACTCTTCCAGAAACATATTTTCTACCAGCCAAGGAGGGAAATGTGTTTACTTAAAATCAGATTTCTACCTTCATGGTGTCAAGAGACGATGTTGATTCTAAATTGTGGTTTCATTTCTAGGCGCAAACGAGCTGGCTGTGACGAAAGCCAAAACGGAGATCACACGTCTTATCAAGGAAGAACTCATCAGATTAGTAAATAGCATTTTAATTACTCATATTGTTGTTTTCTTGAACATTTACTCATTAGAAAATATTTTCTTTTGCAGCAAAACTCCTACCAGCCGACCAGCAAAGGACGATACAAAGTGTTGTAAAGGAGACTTACTTGTCATCAAAGAATATTTTGGGGTTTTTTGTTTTTAAATAATGCTTTCTTCCCAGCCTATATTTTTGCAGGTTTTCAGTGGTGATAATTATCCATATAAATACCTCCTAGCTCCAAATCCACAAGTCATCACCGAACCTTTCCATGAAACAAAAATCAGTTTCACCTTTTTTGTATTAATAAAAAAAAAAAAATGTGTTTTAATAATTTTTCAAACCCCTCAACAATTAATAAATCATAATGTTGGTGAGGACGTTTTTTTCTTTTCATTTCATTTGTATTAATATATGTGGCTGCAATGCAGACTGCATTTTACATTATTTAAGAGTCTACTTTGTATATTATTCATCAGTGGTGGAGCACACTGGGGTTAATGTAGGCGTCTAAAACTCGGGTTGCGATTGAAATGCATCAAAACAATATAACAGGTGAACACATTGGTTTGTTTTGCGGCAATTGGTGTCTATAAATTTTCATATTTGACGTAAAAATGGACATTTATGGGCAGATGATACGGCGTCCACTGTGGGGACGAGGAAGGGGGCGGGGAAGCAGGAATGCTTCCTTCCGAACGGTCTTCCGTTTTGCGCATGCGCACTTGTCATCGCTCTCGCCGCTTATTAATTTTTAATGGAAAATGGCTGCGTTTCTCGTCTAAAGCCGCGGAACCAGCAGATTAAAAAAAAAATACAAGATAACCATCCTTATTTTTTAGTTACAGTTCGCGTGTTAGCTTTTGAAACCAAGGCTGCACGATGCGGTGACGCCTCCCCCCCAGAGGCAAGAAGAAGAAAGCGGTGTCGTGAAGGGGCAAAAAATGAACCCGTTTGCGCTCTGAAGGATGAAAAATCTTTTTTTTTAATTACTATTCCTTAACTATTTACGCGCGGGCCTCAGACGACCATTAACCTAAGGTATGAATGTTATCCTCTAAACAAGTGCTAATTGTGATCACGGGTGTTTTTATTATTTATATCTTGGCTTTTAAATACTAGCATTGATGCTAACGCTTGTCTAAAAAAGAAGAAAAGAACCATTGTACGCTGCTCGCCGTTTCGTCACACAAGATGCCAGAACCGTGAGCGGTGCACGCGGTTTGGATTTATTTTTTCAATTTATTTTATTTTATTTATTTTTTTGTGAATGAGTTTCACCCACACACTAAAGATAAGTAGTAACAGAGTCCTGCACACACCTCCCGGTTTACCCATTGCTCACTCTGCTTGTTTATTTTGCTGCTGAAATGATCAAGAAGCTCTTTCTGTCCCTCTCTCGATATTCAATGTCGAAAGTGCTCGCACAAAACGTAAAGAAAAACTTTGGACGAATTTTCCTTTCTGTTGTTTTTAAGTTGTCATGTTTTAAAGAAAAAAAAAACATCCCTACCCTAGCCAAGGCACATATTTTCCATTCGAAAAAAAATTCACAGCATCAACCAAAGAAAATGTTCACAAATGGGCGATTCACAGCCAATCCATACCTGTTGAACTAGACGCTCGTCCCGACATAAATTTATATACCATGTCTTGCTACACATTCATCCAAATAACATCCACAATATGTATTTTATGCAAAACGTGATGGTACATGAATATGTCAACATTAATGTCTTTGTACAGGCTAGGAGCATGATTAATTTCCTGTACAAGTGTGTTCAATGCACATTGCAGAGAATGTGGAATGAATGTCCAATGTGACAATCTTGATAAGCCACAAAAGCAGTGCATTGAAGTCATTAGAGTCAATTCAACTCAGGGGATGTTGGTGAGTATGTGCCACTTTGTTTTATGCCGTCAACAACAATGTGTTTTTTAATCCTGTTTAAAATCCCCACACCCCCACCCCCAACAAAAAATTCCCTTCCCTTTCTCCTGCAACCCGTTTAGGCAGCAAACTGGATGTTGTCCTCTGCTTGTTGTAGTGAGCTCCCCATTGCTATAAAGTGACATGAATTATTCAAACCAACATTCCTCACGACGGACTAAATTCTCAATAGAAAAAAATGTTTTCAGTGAATTATGCGCGACTAACCAGTTGTGCTGCCCCCACACAGAAGATGATGCGCCAGGTGACGAGCGGCGACTTCTGCATGAACGCCAGGCCATCATGCCTGGCCGAGGATGCCCACCACCCCGCCACGCACTTTGACCTCTGCCCCACGCAGCCCAACAAGTTCTACCCACCTCCGCCACCGCCTTCGTCCGTCCAAATGACGCTTGCGTCCATGGCGCCGCCCGGCCCCGGGCTCAAGCCAATGGCGTGCCCCCGACAGGAAGTCCTGGGCCCTGCCAAGCTCCCTGCCGGCAAAAGCGGCGACCCGGCGGCAGGGGGGGACAACGGTAAGAAGAAGAGCAAAGGCGCCGGCAAGACGGGGCGGCGCGGGCGCCCTCTGGGCACCACCAAACTGGCCGGCTACCGGACCAGCACGGGACGCCCGTTGGGAACCACGCGCGCCGCGGGTTTCAAAACTAGCCCCGGCAGGCCGCTGGGCACCACCAGGGCAGCGGGCTACAAGGTGAGCCCTGGGCGGCCCCCCGGGAGCATCAAGGGTCTCTCCCGCCTCAACAAACTGCCATACGGCGGCGCATGCAGCGGCGCCGCCTTCCCGTACCCGCTAGCGCACAAGGAGATCATCTGTGAAGCCTCCTGCAAGGACAAGACCCCCACGGAATGAGGTAACCCCACTTTTTTAAGATGATGGATTTTTTTCTTTTTAATATATAAATCCGCCGCCTCCTCGGTGTCTCTTTTCTATTATCTCACAAACTATATTTCTACACACTCCGAATGGGGAATTGAGGAAAAAGACATTTGTGCAACAGCGCACCCTGTGAAGGCACCACGAACGTTGCCTTCAACAGTTTAGGACACTTGAATGGTGGAGTTCAAAATGGAATCCGTCATTGATCGACTTCGCATGATGTGACAGTTTGGTGATCCAGGGGCGTGGCTCCATGTAGCTTTTTATGGGGCGGGGGGGGGGGGGGGGGGTGGCCCGG